CCGCGGGGTTGGAGGAAGGGACCTGGGGTAACAGGTGCCTCACCTCGGCTGATGGGGATTAACTCTAGGGCCGCAGAGAGAGGGAGCCCGGCAGCAAAATCCCAGGAGAGGGAGAGAGAGGGAGCCTCTGGCGGCCAACGGAGGGCGAAAAGCACCGGCCCGAGGCGAGGCCGCCCCACCCCCTCCGCCGTGGGCGAGGGGCCTCTCAGGCCCCGGGCAAGGCCTGCCTTTCAAGCTGGGGTCTCTGTTCCGCGAGAACTGGGTTCCTTGGCTGCCCGCTGCTGGGGCCGCGCAAAATCCGCGGTTAACTTCATGACCCCAGGGCATCCTAGCCTGGAAGGCCAACACCCAGGCCCAGATACAGTGTGGCTTCCGCTTAGGCCACTGAGCTCCACCTAACACGCGCCTTGACCGTAAGGCCCCACTGCTAAAGGGAAAGAGGTGAGGAAATCTAACTTTCTTGTCAGGAAAGAGTTTTTCAGACCCCTCCTACCCCCACCCTTTTATAAATGCTTAGTACTCCCTCCTTCCCCCCATCAAACATACCTGAAGTGTTAGAGTCTTAGTGCAAAAATATAAAAGGAATAATAACCGTCATGGTAGACCTTGAAACTAATCCTCACAAAACTACAGAGTAGACACTCTTAAAAGGATAATTTTTCAAGAAGGTAAAAAACACTCTAGTAGAAATGTAAAATGAAGATGTGTCAAAAGTGTTATTTGACATCAATTAGGGAGGGAACGCCAAGACACTGCAACCCATCCAAATGAGAATGTGAAGAACAAACCTTCACGGAAAGTCAGAAAAGAGGCAAAACTGGTTAATATTACATAAGGCACTAAAATATGTATTCAATTATTTCCTATACAGGGCAGTAATCAACTGTACCTCTAAGGAACAAAATAATTTTGCCTACCTATAGATAAGAACCATTTACATTATCAAGTTACTATGGCTTATAAAGTAGTAAGAAGCCTAGTCAAAGGCAAGTAAAGGTGCAAACTACTGAAGAACCACAAAACTCCAGAATCCTGTAGATAACATCTTGCATTCCACTGAAAGGACACCAATAATCTTTTGCCCATTTCGAAGTCTTACACAAGTTTTCCCAACAGAACTATTATTATCTGCATTTTACAGATAGGAAGACTGAGGTTCGGGTTTTGTAACTTACCTAGTGTTTTATCAGGTAGTAAATGATTTGGGCCACATATGAATTCGGGCAAGTCTATGCACAGAATCTACACTCTGGGAGCAAAATCTTTTCTCACATAATTTCAAAAGGGCTTTGTAGTTACTCAATTCTATGTATCTCTTATTTTGAACAGTGGAATTTTTTCTTTTCTTTTTTTCTTTTCTTCAAGCCTCACCAAATTCTGGGTGCTTTCTCAAGAAATTGGCATTCTCTGTCTACGAAATGAATGTCACTTCTATAAGCATAAACAGATGTAACAGGCAATGTGAGGGGGCTGTGGTTCCAGCCTCTACTTTTGGAAAGAACATTTGTGCTGTCTGGAGTAATTTAGTGGAAAAGTTCCTGTCATTTATTTGCAGTATGGAAACCATGTTTTTAAGGAGAATAATCTAAATAAATTCAGGAACCTAATCACTGAATTCTATCTGTAGAAGAGGGGGCAGAGCTGGCAACAAAACCAGTCTTACACCTCGTTGTAAAAAGATGATTCATACAGAAAAGCAGTCTCAAGTATTTGGTTTGGGCTTCATTTTTTTTTTTAATGTGAAACTTCTGGAAAAATTCAGACAGAAGAGATGAAAGAGTTTTAAAAACATTATTTCTGATTTAAGATTCCTGGATTGCACATAATCTACCTTCCATTTCTCTTACCTGGAGGTTTGAAGGGACCAGGCCAGCATTAACTAATTCAATACACATGGTTATTTAACTTTAAATTAAAATCAACTGCAATTCAGAATTAACTTTGTTAGTCTCACCAGCCAGCCACACTTGGAAGAGTCAGTAGCTACACGTGCCTAGTGGCTACCCTACTGAACAATGTAGGTACAAAACATTTTCATCACAGAAATTTCTACTGGACAGTACTGTCCTAGACAACATTTGTACTTCTATAAATTAGGAAAGGTATTTTGACTTTATAAGGGTTAAAACTTAGTTCAATAGATCATTAATGCATTGGGGATAAAGAGGTCATAAATTTTGCATGTTCTAATTGGAAAGGGGCTGGGGAATGTGAGGTGAAGTTTAGTGTTAACGTGCAAGGCATCCAAAATGTATTTGGGGAAGAGAGGGGTTTGATTTTCATATATGATTTCTTTTATACATCATGTAGAATATTGTGGGTTGTTATTTCCTTTGTAACCAATAATATCAGTGTCAATAATATTAGAAAGAATGGACCATAAGATTAGTCAATAAAAAGTAGAAAATATATTCTACAATGTTTTAGGGGTTCTCTCAATACATTTTTTAAGTTTTCATAATAGATATTCTGAGCATCTATTCAAAGAATTAAACTATGTGCGAAAGTGGTGAAATTGGGTGAAAGTGAAATTGGGTGCAGTTGTGAAATTAAGCCTAAATCAAGCCTGAATCAAATTTTAAAAATAGGGAAAACTGACTAAACTGAGCCTAAAGACTGCCTATCACTCCTTGGTTTATTGCTTAAAGGCACCTGGCTGACTGTGTGTTAACAGAAGTTCATAAAGGGAAAGAAAAGAATAGAACAAACTTGGAGGTCTCTAGAATAATTTCTTTACAGAGCAGGCAAAATAATGAAAGAGCCATTCCTATAGGTAACAGTATACGTAACTTTAGCATAAAAGGGTATTTTACTCATACTACTGTTTCTTTATCAGTACTAAGAAAAGTGTGTTGACAGTAATGAAGCACTTGTTTACCAAAAAGTTTAGTTTTAACTGCTTATTTTACGTTTGTAAATATCAGAGTGCTTTGTCACCTTTAAGTGTGAATGTTGGTATTCAGGCATCTTAAAAGGTCTGTGTTTTAAAATAAATGGGTAAAAAAATTAAGTTTATATCTTTTATTCTTAGGGTATTTCACACACACTCCATTGTAGAGATAAAATATATTTCTCTATAATAGTGATAGAGTCCTCAGGCTTACATTCAGAATACATCAGAGATATCTATGATCAGTCTGATTTTGTGATGCTAGTTATAAAATTAAGTTTAAATCAATAAATAGATTTTGTAATGTAGAAGGTATTATTTCTGCTTAAATAAATTGATAATGATTCAGTATGACTTTCTACCTACATTAATGGCTTGGGCATGCCATTAAAAATTTACACCATCATTTTGGTTCTTTTCTCATTCTACAATACATCCAGTGTCTTGGCTTTTCAGCCTAAAACAGTTTATGATAGGTTTGAATATTTACTTTTATTTGCTACAAGTAATAAACTGTAGAACTTTTTAAGATTCCTTAAAGTCATTTTTAAATTATTGTTAATATATTAACTGCAAATAAATCACAGTAGATTTACACAATGCATTTAGGCCAAAGCGATACAGCTTCTCTTTTTTCCACATTTTTACTTTACTTGGTTGTAAACACAACCAAAACACAGAAAACCAAGAGTTTTATTGGACTAAATATTGGTGTGATGTTTTCACTACTGTCACTGCTTATCAGGCTGAAACAATAGCTGCTATAGCCGTTCTTTTTGGTTTTCGGTTTTCAGTTTTCAGTTTTATAGTGCTGCAAATTGCATGTTTCAAAACAAATGTTAGGTATTTATCTGTCTCTACAGAAACCCATTTTACTTTCAGCAGATTAGCCCCTCTGGTAGAAGGACTCTAGAAGTGGTATTCAACCTGCCAGTCCTCTACCCACAGGGTGCACCTGAACTCTGGCATCCTTGGAATTGGCACGTTGTCTACTCTGCTTCAGAATAATTTATTATTTCAAGACTGAAACAAATGAGAGAGACACAGCGATCCTTCACTGAAAGAACAGTTAGCAAACTGTCAAATTGAGATTCAAAACCTTTTACTGGAATTGATACTGAGTACATTTTTATCCTAGAGATGCTAAGCCTAGTTCTTGAGCTATATAATAGCATATCTCTTCTTTGCACACAACTGTTGGGGGAAATAGATGTACAAAACACTCTTAATTGTGAAAATATAGGGAAAAAATCAAAGA